GGGGTCAGCTCCTGCCTCCCGCCTCCTCCGAACTCAGCCACCACAACAACAGAACCACCACCCACCGAATCACGCCCCCTCACCCAACCACCCACCCGAAAACAAGTCGAACAGCTGTTTAGCCATAGTGTTTACCTTACCTACCGATCGATCTCAGAAGGAAGCTCAACATCTCGGCTCTCTTTTCTCTCTCTCCCGCCTCTCTCTTATCTTGATCTCCCTCGATTCGCTCCGCTTGTCTGAAATGCTCCGCAGAGCGACCTTGCCACTGAACAGCGACACCAAAGACCCACTCGCCGCCGAGTGCAGCTGCTCCTCCCACAACGGAGGGGCCGCCGGAGGAGCAGGAGGAGGAGCAGGCGGGGCAGCCGCGAACGGCAGCAGCAGCAGCGGCGGCGGCGGCGGCAGCGGAGGCGGAGCAGTCGGCACCACCCATCATCAGCACCAACAGCACCACCAGCATCAGCATACCCACCATCCGAATCACCCGCATCCGCATCAGCATCAGCAACATCAATTGCCGCCGCAGCAACAGCAACAGCAGCAGCAACATCAGGCGGCTCAGCAGCAGCTCCATCACCACCATCCAATGACCACGTCCATATCCAGCGGTTCGGTGACCGCCAATGCCAACTGCATCAACTCGTCCGCCTCGCTGGCCTCCATGCCGGGTCTCAGCGCCTACCTGGGCATGGGCTCCCATGTGGGCGGCCACATGGGCATGGGCCTGGGATTGGGCATGGGCCTCGGCCTGTCCAATCTGCGCACCACCAGCATCGATGCCGACGACGATGAGCTGGTGGCTGCCGATGTGGCCATGAACAATGCTGCTGCCGCCGTTCCTGGAAACGGATCCGGGGCTGGCAACGGTTCCGGGTCCGGTTGCTCCGCCTCTGCGGCGCACTATCTGCGGTACAGCAGCAACTACCGCTCGGCCGCCGCGGCTCAGGCATCGCAGGCGGCGCATCCGCTCGTTAACGCCAACGCCAACTCCAATTCGAATTCGAACAACGGCCATGGCCACGCGCCGATCTCATCCAGCATCTCGTCCTCTGCGTCATCAGCTTCGTTTTATAATCGCCTCCTACTCCTCGATAATTCCAGCGGCGATGCAGTCGTCGGCGGCAACGGAGGTGGCGGCAGCCACAACAGCAGCGGCGGAGTGGCAGGTGGTGGCACCAATGGCCTCCCGGACAAGCACGACCCGGAAGCCACTGCCCAAGCTGGCGCGAAATCCGTCGGCGATGGCTTTTCGCATTCCAACAGCCCTGCGGTGAATTCCGGAGCGGGAGCGACAGGATCGAGGGACAACGAGGGACCCTCGTCGAGCAACTCCTCGCATCTCTACCAGAACCTGCTGAGGAGCAGTTCCGGAGAGGCGCCGGCGGGATCGAGCTCAGCGGGCAACAACTGTGATTACCGGAACGAGAGCAACCAGGTATGAAGTCTTCTAAAAGCGGAAAAGGGATTTGGTTATTAATCGCTTCTATATCCAACCCCCAGAATGGTGTGGAGGACTCGCCCCGGCGCCATAGCTCCATGGATCAGCTGATTGGGTTGCTCGAGAACCTGGGCATGTCTTCGAGAACACGCAGCCTGAGCGATGGCGGCACTCAGGACGATGACGAAGGTAAGTACTAGAGAAGTATATAATTTAGAGAAACATTCATATTCTGTATATCCTAAACAGCGGAGAAGGAGGCGCAACCTGATCTGCTGAACAACACCCCACCGGTGCCACCGAAGCGCTCCCACAAGCGCCGCCACACGCCCCCTCGCCCCATCTCCAACGGACTGCCGCCGACCCCCAAGGTGCACATGGGCGCCTGCTTCTCCAAGATCTTCAACGGCTGCCCCCTGCGGGTGCACTGCACCGCCTCGTGGATCCATCCGGAGACGCGGGACCAGCATCTGCTGATTGGCGCCGAGGAGGGCATCTACAACCTCAACATGAACGAACTGCACGACGCGGCCATCGATCAGTTGTTCCCGCGCCGCACCACCTGGCTGTATGTCATCAAGGATGTGCTCATGAGTCTGTCGGGTGGGTACTCGATTTGATCACTCTTTTGATCCTTTTAATAATCATATTGATGTTTCCAGGCAAGTCCTGCCAGCTCTACAGGCACGACCTGGTGGCCCTGCACTCCAAGCAGACGGTGCGCTTCTCGCTGCACATGAACAAGATCCCGGAGCGCTTGGTGCCGCGCAAGTTTGCGCTGACCACCAAGGTGCCGGACACCAAGTGCTGCACGCAGTGCTGCGTCACGCGGAATCCGTACAACGGATACAAGTACCTCTGCGGGGCGACGCCCAGCGGCATCTTCCTGATGCAGTGGTACGATCCGCTAAACAAGTTCATGCTGCTGAAGCAGTGCGAGTGGCCAGCCACTAGCATCCAAGGCGGCGGCTATGGCTGCGTCCAGAACGGACACACACCCGTATTCGAGATGATTATCACGCCGGAGCTGGAGTACCCGATAGTGTGTACGGGTGTGCGAAAGGCCATGAACGGCTGCCTCAAGCTGGAGCTGATCAACATGAACAGTGAGTGCTTTGAGATGGGAAACAAGGATTCGGTTTTAATGGATTTCCTTTGCCTTTTAGGTGCCAGCTGGTTCCACTCGGAGGACCTGGAGTATGACGCCATGGCCACGATGGTGCCGCGACGCGACCTGCTGAAGGTGGTGCGCGTGCACCAGGTGGAGAAGGACGCCATTCTGGTCTGCTACGGCAATCTGATGCAGGTGGTCACGCTGCAGGGCAACCCCAAGCAGCACAAGAAGATGGTATCGCAGCTCAACTTTGACTTCAACGTTGACAGTATTGGTAGGAATTGCAAATCACTTAGAAAGAATCGCCTTCTAATTGGTAAATCGATTTCAGTATGTTTACCGGACAGCGTTTTGGCATTCCACAAGCACGGCATGCAGGGGAAGTCGTTGCGCAACGGCGAGGTGACGCAGGAGATCAAGGACATGAGTCGCACCTACAGGCTGCTGGGCAGCGATAAGTAAGAACACCTTCATATATCCAAAAAAGTTTTATATTTTATTTAATTAATATTTGCATTTGTTGATGAAAGTGCTGTAAATGTACATATCGTTGTAAAAAAAAGTCTAGTAATTTTTTGCTCACCAATTTTGATTATTATAGTTTGGTTTTCTTATAGATTATAGAGTATAGATTAACCTTTATTAGTTCATTAATTCAGACTGCTGAGCAGTGATAAGTAGGATGAGATCAAGGAACATATTCAAATTTACAAATTGATTTTGTTTATAAATATTTTAATTTCTTCTTATAATCAAAGATTCAAGGAAGATGGCACTGTATAAGGAAATTTTTTTTTCTCTTAGTATTTTTCATTATTATTATTTGGTTTCTTAAATATTATATATCTGTTTTTATGACTTTTTATTAATTCATAATTTTCTCCGTATTGCAGGGTTGTGGCCTTGGAGAGCCAGCTGCTGAGGACCGGCTCCCTGGGCAGCGAGGAGGGACATGATCTGTACATTCTGGCCGGGCACGAGGCTAGCTACTAAGCTAATGGGCGCCCGCTTAATCCACTGTTATATTTTAAATATAATCCGGTTCACCACACAAGTTTTAAGGGCCGCAGCCGCCGTCGTCGTCAACTATTAACTGTAATTTAATTACTCGTAGGCTAAGCAGTGACTTACTGATCGTAGAGGACTAGAGAGAGCCAGTTGCATGTCGAGCGTTCGATAGCTTAGATTAGCGCAATTTTACAGCACCTAGAAGAGGCAGCCTTCGAAGAAGAGACCCAGATCCACACTACCAAGCACACTGATGGGGCTGCTCGGCCCGAGTCGCTATCTTTCGATCTGCCGACCACTCGATATACTAGACGTCTACGTCTGCGTCTACCCGATTCCGTTGTAGCTATATTTTTGTATTACAAAGAAATGCTTTAATTTATACAACTAACTTTAATGACCTACGGTAATCGCTACAGATAGTTATGTTAGAGAGAGATTTGTGTACACGCTTCACAAAGCCAATAGATACGATTCCAAATAGTCAGTCAGCAGGAGAATCCGAGTAAACCTACATTAATACACGCAATTATCCACACGATTCGAGACCCACTAAGGCAATTAGAACTAATAAATAATTCTTAGTCTTTAGCAATTGTAAATCGCAATGTTTTTAGCTGGTTAAACTGCTTTCGATTGGCTCAAGACCGCAACGGAAAAATTAAGGACGAGGGAATGAGGGGAGCGATATGGGATGATACGGTTTGTTGGGAAACAAAACTAGCTAGTAAGACTTTTCTAACCTAGTAACACGAATTAACAAAAATAAATGCAAATTAATGGTCTGTATCTGTATGTTAAACAAGTAAACTGATTGTCATAGTTACGGTTCTAGGATAAGCTAAGCGATGAAAACAGACAACTTTCCGAACAGCACCCTTCATCGATTGAGTTGTAAAAATATTCTACTAGACCTTAAGTTATTTAGTTCATACGACAAAGCAAAAAACCGAAAATTACAAACTAATACAGAGAAAAACAAACGGATAAACACACAAAATTGTTGAACTCTAGTTTAGTGCAAAAATAAAAAGTATGTGAAAGAAGTGAATTGCTTATTTCAAGGGCAGTTTGAAATGGTTTTCAAAAGGATATATTGAATTTGATATGGATATTAATATGTCAAGAGGATTCTGATTTCGCAAACATTTTTCCATATCGTAAGCTGATCAACAAGTTTTTTCGATCTTTTTCAATACGGAAAATTAATAAATTGGAAATATTTAACAATTTTGGTAAATTTTCAGAACTCTCATATAAATTTTACGTACAAAAATTAATCAAAAGGATACAGACTTTGGAAATAAATCCCTCATATCATTAGATAATTTAATTCAAAATTAATTTTTTGGTATATGTTCATAACACCTCTTTTCGAAATTTCCGCCCTAATTCGAAAACGCGTTAGGCACTGCTCAAAAATGCGTTCGTGACGTTTTTAAAAGTGCGGTAACTCAATTAGTGGAGGCTTCACGTGTTTCCCGATTTGTTTACAATTTTCCCTCTCGAAATGAAGCCATTCGAAGTGCCGCCCTGGGAGGCAGGAGCAGAAATCATTGAATTCAAGCCTGTGAATTCATCAGGAAATGGAGTTGCTACCGCCAAGAAGCCAAAGAAGAAGAAACCCAAGAAGAAGAAGTCAGTGGAGGCCGAACAGATACCCAAAGTAAGCCAGGCACCTGGAAAATTCAGTTACCGGCATGGCGGAGGACCTCTGGCCCCGCCCCCAGACTCCTCGGATGATGACGACGATGTGGAGGACGGCATCCGGGCCATGCATAAGGTGAAGTCCGGAAGAATAGAGAAGCAGCGACCACCAACGCAGGCCACTAAAGGCGGCAAAAAGGAACTGAAGCTGAAACCCGAACTGGCGCAAGCGGCGGTGGAGGCCATGGAGACCACCAGCTCTCCAAGTCCGACTGCCAACTCACTGGCCAGCAAGCTGCAATCGGAGCTCCTGGGCGGACGGTTCCGTTACATAAACGAGCAGCTCTACTCGGTGACCAGTCGCAAGGCGGAGGCCCTTTTCCGGAAGGACAGCTCCGCCTTCGAGGCCTACCACGCTGGCTACCGGCAGCAGGTGGAGAAGTGGCCAACGAATCCACTCAACCGCATCATCAAGACCATCAAGAAGGTGCCCAAGACAGCTATAATTGGAGACTTCGGATGTGGAGAAGGCAAACTGGCTCAGTCCGTGCCAAACAAGGTGTACTCCATGGATTTGGTGGCTGCCCGGGGAGACATCATTGCCTGCAACATCACGGACACCCCGCTCCAAGCTCAGTCGCTGGACGTGGCCGTGTACTGTCTCTCCCTAATGGGCACCGATCTGAACGAGTTCTTCCTGGAGGCTAATCGGGTGCTCAAGCTGCACGGCAGTGTCTATATAGCGGAGATACAGTCGCGTTTCGAGGATGTGCGGGAGTTTGTGCGCTGCTTGGGTGCCTGTGGATTCGACCTAATCAAAAAAGATGTAGCTGTTAACTATTTCTACTTCTTCCAATTCAAGAAGATGCGTCATGTGCCCAAGGGCACTAAGTTAAAGGCCTTCTCCCTGAAGCCTTGCTTGTATCGCAAACGATAAAATATCTGACTGCATGGAATCAAAATTGATCGTTATTCACTCTTAAAAACTCTCCTCCGTTCGACACTACATTTTTTTTCAACAAATGTATGGTTTTTTATTTCGATTGCAAAGACTGTTTACGGAACCCGAGACAGAAGCTGCTCTAATAGATAATTACGTTTGTACATTAACTAAATGTAGGAATCTTTATCAACGCAATAAATATTGAATTTTTACTACCGCGCTTACATCAGTTAATAGTAAATTCGAATTCGCATAAAACTACCCATGGTTATTTTTTAAGACATCACAAATGATTGGTTTTTAGTCATTCTTTTCTAATCAAAACAACTCAATGTATGTAAAAACCCGTGCCAATCTTAATACGAAAATATCATAAGAACTGTTTTCATAATGTCTATTTGGAAATAACAAATTTCAAAGCGTTTAAGGGAACAATCGCAGATTATAATTTTTATTTGCCAAAACAAATATTTTTACAACGGATGCATGGAATACAACTTTGATAAATGTAAATATGATGCAATTTCTTATAAACTACATATGTATATGCACCAGGGTGTACATATATCAGACTTCTAGAAATTACCGTGAGTTTGCTTGCAAAAACAATATCTCAGAATTCGGATTCTGTAAAGTAATCAGTATAAGTAAAACTTTTACAAGTGCTGCTAAAATAATAATGCTTATTTCCTGAGTGATTAAGTATAACTCTAAAACAAGATCTTTTTACCATTTTATATTAACGGACCTTGAGATAGATCCACATGCATTAACTTAAATTTTAAAGTATTCTATTTAAAGCACCTTTGCTTTAACTATTTACCAAATTGAACAACTTCTTCGGGCGCTATAAACATTTGAAATTAAAGCCAAACCGCTCAGACGACCCACCGACGTTAGCCAGCACTACAACCACTTGGTGGTGGTTTCTCAGCGAAACTCGGTGGTCTCAACGCAATTCGACTCAAATCGAAAAGCGGAAAGTGGATGGACGCCTCTCCGCTCCGGTTTCAGTACCAGTTTGCTCTTCGTGCACAGCACATCGAATATTTGTGAAGACGGTACGTTGGATCGCGCTCCCAGAACTCTGAGTAGATTTGTTTTGCCAGCAGAAGAATTGCTAAAGGCGACGAGCGGATAGAAAAGAAAAGCGCGCAATTCGCCAGTGTGTTTATAAATAAATGGGAAATTAATTCACTAGCAACCACTATTCGCGCATTTTCCGCCCACGCCCACCCCGCTCTCTATTTTCCCCCCGCACCCCCCTCCACACACCGCTCTTCGTTCTCTATTACTCACTCAAAAAAACTCAACGTCAAATTTTCAACAGGTATTCAACGACGACGACGACAACAACAAATTGTCTTTTTTCGCGAACGAATAGAAAAAAGTGGCAAGAATTTGTTTACCAGTGTGAACGCGTGTGAGTGCAACAACGGGGAAAAGTGAAAACAACACAAATACAGCAGCAAAGCGCATCTAACGGTAAAAAGGCGCCGCAAAGTATTCCCCATCTACGTATCCTTCCTGTGGATTAAAAAGGATTCTAGAGTCGACTTGCGTGGGTGAGTAAATTGCGGGGATTGCGACATTGGCCAAATTTTTTTGTTTGTGTAATTTTTTTCATTTTTTTGGGCTGTGGTCGGGAGTTTTTGGTGGCTTTATGTTTTCGATACAGACACAAGCGCAGAATGACTTGGGCAGTATGACTTCATAGCACACACACACGCGTTAAGTTAATTGAGAGTAGCTTTGCGAGAGGGAGAGAGCAGAAGAGAGGCGGAGAGAGAGCCGGACTCACTGGCACGGCATTTGTATCTGTGAGCTGTCAAGCTTTCCGAGTGTATCTTTTGGCACGATATTCTTTCGACTTCTTGTTTTGTCAACTCGGCCCACATTGTTGTTGTCGCCAGCGCTCTTTGCTGCTGCCTTACTCCAATTTTCCTCTTTCTGTGTTTTCCTCGTTTGCTTCGCATTCGGGGGGAGGGTGGGAAATTCCCATTCGCCTCACGGTAGCCAAGGAAACGTTCCACAACACCGATCGGATACAAATGTATCTTAAAGTTACTTTTATTCAGCCGTTCACTACGCACTTTCTATGTCTATAGTTACAAATGTATTTCAAAGCTAAATAAGTATGTACTTCAACCAAAAGATTTAAATGCGTTTTATAGCTATGTACGCATATTATGAGGCAGCTGCTTCGAGCAAAATATAAAAACATAATTCTACGCAGTTTAGTTTACAAGGCAAATATAGGCATACGACAAAATATTTCTTAAAATGAAACGAACTAAATAGTATCAGAGATACTTTTGAATAATACTTACTTTAAAATAAAAATGTATCTCGAGTCCCAGAGCCTCATATATGGGCAAATAGCTTACCCAAAAGACAGAACGGATGCTTTGTTTGACCCATATGTATAAATTTGGAATTCTGTCGCATTCATATGGCATAGAGTTTCATAGGGCGGCTAAATCCACTGTTCAAATTCCCCTACCATTTCAACGTCACTGCTCCGAAAATAGAATCGATCGGCGGACGAGCAGGTTTCCGCACTTCTTATCAAACACTGAGCGATTTTTGCAATAGCATTTTTATTTTGTTTGATATCGGCTCGGTAAACAAGGACGGCTCCTTATCCCTTCCACTGGCATTGGCAACATGGTTAGTACGAGTATGAGGTTCTGCGATAAGATAAGAACCACAACAAAGGCCAGTTATGAATGGCAGGTGACTGGTGTCATTTCTTTGGCCCCTTAACCCCTTACCCCTCTGAGTCATGGCACGATTTTCACCATCCCCGGAAAACTTGGGGCGTTGACTTGGCAACGAAAAACCGTTCTTCGAAAGCCGCTGTTTACGTGGAGTTTTTATTTTTTCTCCGGGAGGTGTGGGCTTTGACCCAAATAGTAACAAACATTAACATAAAGACTTCTTCTTCGCACTGCCAGGCCATGTAAAGTGGGAAATGAAAGAGGCAGAGCTTGCATTAGAAACCGGTTGCTGGCCAGCAGGAGAACTTGGCAGCACAGCAGACAAACAGATAAAGCAGCCGAGCAAAGCAAACGAGGAGTGCCAGCCACTGAATGCTAATAACTGTACAACCAGCGAGTGGAAAACTATAATATAAAAATCTGGAGAGGGCAGTAAGAGAACGTGCGAGCGGGCTAACGACTTGGCAGCACGCGAACATGGCTAAAAAGAGTCGGAATCAGAGCCAAAGCGAAAACCTGAATTCGAATCCGAATCTGACTCCGAGCGAGCGTTACCAACTAGGTGTGTCTTTGAGCGTTAGAAGCTCAGAGAGGGTCTCTCCGAAGCCTCTCGGTTTCTCTCGGGGAAAACAGAGACTAAGCCTGGTTTAAAGCGTTTTTCCAGCGTGGCCAGATCGTTGGGAAGATCTCCGAAAATGTGGCACAAAGTATCTTCAAATTTATGAGTCCTCATCAAGGGCTATTCCAGGCTATTCTTAGTTTGGCAGCACATTTCCACCCTCCTCTATCGAGGGGGAAACCAATCTAATCTGTCAACAAACTCAATCAGACGGAAGGCAGCTTTTCCAGAACGCTTTGAGCTACTCAGTATCCGTCCCCTCGACCCATCCTTGGTTTTTCCGTTTTCTATTTTTATTTCTTGTCGCATCGATTTTTACTTCTGCGGATGGGGCGTCTATAGGTCTATGATTAATGTGCAAAGCGCTGGAGTGGACAAAATTCTCCTCGACGGCGGCTTGTTTGTTTACTTTCTCCCCCTTCACGACACTTTTCCCCCGCAGTCTGGGCAGAAATCAAATCGCGATGTGCATGTGGGTGCGGCATCACGACACAGCGAGAAATATTATCATGATTCAGGGTTAATATTATAAAGCTAGTTCTAGCGCATCACACATCTAAGGTTATTATTTTATGCTTAACCAGCTTGTTTTTAAGGAATGGGAAGACTTTATTTTGACTTGACTCTGAATTGTAAAGGTAAAAAAACACTTTTTTTAAATATTCCGTTATAAATTGAATTAATAATGTATTGAAACAAGGAAAATTCCAATTTTATTAATGTAAAATATTCATAAGAAATTTTCAGAGTAAATGATTTTAAAGTTAAATGGATTTATTTGTTGATAAATTTGGGTTTATAATATAGACAATACCAACATAAGACCATAGTTTCTGAATTCTTTTTGCATAAAATAGTATTAATTTTTTTGTGTAGGACATTTAACGTTTTACCAAAATGGTGTTTGCTTGGAAATCTTTTTTATTAGGAAAGTTTTTTAATAAGCTATTTCTAGTTAAAATTTTTGTACTGTGGAAGTGGCAGCCCCCACTGGATGCATTCAGAGTTCGTTGGCCAGGCAGAGCCAAATGCTTTAAATAGTCATTGGCAAGCGGGGCACTGGTGGTGCCGGGTGGTGCAGAGTGGTGGGGAGCGGTGGTGCAGGGCGGTGTGGGTGTGATTCACTGCGGTTATGTCGCCCTGTCAGCCGAGCGCCGATCGGAGCGGTAATTAGTCAAGCGACACACTCTTCCATAGAGCCGCCACTTGAGCTGTCCAAAAGTGGCAGCTGGTGACCAGGAACCCGTTCTCAAGTGGCTGCTCCACTTCTGGCTCATGACTCGGCGGTGGTCAGTGCCGTCTCAGGGTTCCAAGTGCCGAATGGGAGCGGATCTGGCTTATCGACCGGCGACTACCAAGTCGCCATCCTCGACTGCAAGGCGGTTCCACTCCGTCGATAAGTCTATGCATTCGCAAAGGCGAAACACACCCTCTAATCGGTCTGTATTGATTGACCCACTTTCCCACTTTAGCACACAGTCCAGAATGCGCGAATGTTTACGTATTTCCCACTCCATATTTCCTCGAAAAATATACAAAGTAAGATGGAAGACCTGACGAGCTGAAAGAAAATGAATAAAGAATGTTCACTGGTGTGTAATGATTGGTTCCAGGGGTCAAGTGATGCATAGAAGAGAAAGCAGTCGTAAGTTCTTTAAAGAAAATAATTTAGCTTTAATTACCTTCATTAGTCAGCATAAACTGAATAAAGAAATATCTACCAAATTAATGTACATTTTAATTTATGCATTTCAACGGAAGCTTTATCTTGCAAAAATGTAACAGCTTCCCTTGCGGAAATGCGGCCATGTTTATAAACGGATGTGAAGTCAGTTTCAGGCAATAGCCCCTCAAAATCGCTCTTGTATATAACGCATTTTA